CGGGGAGGAGCGGCACAGCACGCACGCTCGCCCGAAAACGGCGGCGTCACCTGTCCGCTCCCACGTTCGGCCGTCCATCACGCAAGAGTCTGTAAAATGTAATCCATGCCCCCTCCCCCGGCTTACGCTGAATGGCTGGATTGTTGTTTTTTTTTTTACCGTGCTATTCAGCCGTTGGACACCAAGCCAGTCACACACTGTTGACTGAGCTTTTCCCAATTACACTGTGTTTGTGGGTCCTTGTTGTCCCCTTAAACTACCCACAATCGGAGACAATGGATTAAGGGGCTCGCTGAATAGGGACACTGTTCTGACTTGGCTTGGATATTCTGCAGAGTGTGTGAAATATGAGACAATGGCTCTTTAAAACCAATGAGAACCATTTTCTTTAGCATTGAACAGAGGTGGGGGGTTGGAAATTGGTGGTGGTTGGCTGGGGGGAGGTGGACTTGGAGGTCTATTGCGTGAATAGACGCTTCTAATCCTCTTTGCGAGCGAGAGTAAAGTTAGGGCAGAGTCTGTAATCTTAGTGATGAGAGAGGTCACTTGAAAAGCGAAGAACTGGTTTAAAAATCCCTCTTGGCGCATAATTTACTTTCATTTGCGGGCTGCGTTCGGCTTAGAATGCAAGTCTAGTGAAGGTTACCGGGGTTTAAAGTTTCCGCGGGTCATTGCTGCTCCAAAAAGTCGAGAAGGATTTTCTCTTTTTGGAGCTGCGTGGGATTAGTACGTTTTTATTCAATATTGAATTTTAATTTGAAAAGTTTGCAATTCCCTTTCTGTGTCAAAAGATTGGTGTATAATTGTGTGTTAAGATTTTTCAGTCTTATCAGTGAAATAATATTCATATATTACATTATGTCATATTTCCTTAAAAATAAACATAATTTATAACAGTTGTCGTTCTACCTTAAAACTATACCATCAGCAAAAGAATGAATGGGCTAGTTAGTCGGAACTAACTAGATAGAAGTTTTATCCGATTAGATTTTACTGCTTGATGTGTTTCCCGGCGTCCGATCGCTGCCTCGCCCGGTTCGCACAGTCCGGTGCGGTTCAGTTGCGCCCCTGCAGTCCCATCAGCTACCGCGTGGCTTTGGTGCCAAGGCAACGCGGCACGTCCTCGGACAGGCCGCGGCCGGCCTGATGGAGTGCCGGAGTGCCATAGTGCCGGGGGCTGGCTTTTTACACAACGGTTTTATGAAATATATAGCGTTTTTCCGCATGTAATGCTGGGTAGCAAAGCACATTTTCGACAATTATCACGCGGATTTCCTGTACAACACAAGTTTATTAATTATGTTTAGCAATTATAATAATGAAACGGGTGGTTTTAGTTAACATTTTAAGACCAGCCTTTTGATCAGTACAATTATTGCAGTTGTTTAACATGAGGCGTAAATAACTCCTTTGGCATGAAGAGCTGAGATCACAGTTGTATTTGTGTTTTTTTTTAATCGACAAAACTTTTACTTTCACTATTGTAAAAAAAAAAAAAATAATTTCTGTCTTACACCACCCGCATGTTTGGGAATATGTCGTGCCAGAGTAAGAACTTGATGAAGACGGGATTGGGGTTACAGGAGATGGGTCAGGGACCTATATCACAAAGCTAGATTTCTTATTTAGCTGGATACTTTATGCGATTTCAGGTAGTTAGAGCTAAATGTAAGTGAATGAATATGAAGTCCATTTAAACCGGGGTACCTTAAATCCATCAAGTTATCTGACTCGGCTAGAAATCCTGCTTCGTGCTGCGTGCCCCAGGAGCGAGGCGTCCCCGTGGCTTCCCCTGTGTCCAGCTCCAGTGTAACGGCACGTCCTGTCCGCCATCACTGCGCCATATCTCTTCCCATCAGGCCGTGCTCTAGGGGTTTGTTTTCTGGAATCCAAAATGACTGCTGCCTCTCCTCCTCCTGTGGGACTCCTCCTAAATATACATCTACTTTTGAGTCATCTACCACACAGAGAGGCTATGGGTATGGCACTTATTCCATGGAAAAGACTAGGGTTTCGAAGTGAATCAAGTGGGCCGCTGTGTTTATATCAATCCCTGCCACATTACACAGGATGAACGCAAGCCCAGGCCTACATCGGGTATTTCCCCAGTGTACAGCTACTCACCTGTTTAAATTTACTAATGTGATGACCCTTTAACTGCACTTTATGTTGCTTTTTATAAGTTTTATTTTTGTCATATTACTATTTAACATTCAGCTGGTTGTTCTCAGCTCTTCCTTGATTTGCATGCCATTTGAATTTTATATTTGAGTGTTTATCGTTTTTACACATTTTTAATATTTTTTTTTTTTGCATTACTCTTTGTCTCTCCAAAATTCAAGTTACGCAGTGCACTGTCCTGCACTGCACTTGACTTGATGTGCTTAAGTCCTCTCTGGCAGTTCCAGGCTTAAGCTAACTGGCTCTGAGGTTTTAAGCCAAGAAGTGCGTAAGATGAGCAGGCAGGAGAGTGGGATGTGTAACGGGAGACGGGCGGCCAGCGGATCCCGGAAAGGCTGAGTGTGAGGTTAGCTGGGGGCGGCGCCCATGTCATCTGCTGCTTTCTGGGGCGAATGGCACACTGGACATTTTACAAGGCATGCCTCCCTTTGTTCTCTCTTATGAGCACAGGTTTGGTTTTCACAAAATATTAATTATTTGATGAGTTTCCACCACTGAGGTCCTATGTTATTGACTTTTTCTTTTGTGAAGGTGAATGTTAGATGTAAATATGATATTTTATGCTGGTAATATTGATAAATAAAATAATGGCTGATAAAATGGACATGGTACTGTAACCTATATTTGGTATTTATGTGTAATCTTAAGTAATGTGGGATCTATATGTAATCTTCCTTTTAACTATGCATTTGAAAATTATATAAATTCCCTCAGTTATTTTACTATTTTTAAAATTTAAAACGTTTGTGTTCTGTCTAAAACCACATGACCACATTAACCAGCCTGATGTCCCTCAAAGTGCTGTTTCTGAATTTCTTTCATGCTTATACAATACAGTGAACTTTCTGGACAAATGACATCATCAAACAGTGTATGAAGGAGACAAGCTGAATGTGGTCTGACTAGAGGCAAACCTGGAGATGAATACCTGGGGGGTGTTACATGAAGCAGGATTTCTCAGTTGGCTGGGTTACTTTAAGCTAGAAGTCATGACTGTCCAATAAGAGTTTAGGTAATTAGAATTCCTATTGAACAGTCATGACTTCTACCTTAAATTATTCCAGCTAACTGAGAAATCCTGCCGGTGTAGCACCTGAATCATCTTGGATTGACTGATGTTCTACAAAGCAAGGTGCTTGTCTTTTTGTCATTGCAAGGTTAAAATGAAATGCCGAATAGAGATTGATAACAGTGCGAGCCTTTCCTTTTTTAAAGCTGAGCTGGACAAGATGTTTCACAGGATTCAGACATGAGACACATGTCAACGCCACATCAAACACAATCATGTTCTTGTTTCCACACACACACACACACACACACACACACATACACATGCATACATACATACATACATTTATATTCACATCCTTGTGGAGACTCTTCATTCATTTCTATGAGAATAATCCTAATCCAAAAAATGACAATCTTAACCCCTACCCAACCTTAACCAAAAGTTACCGCAAAGTGAAAAATGGTCCCCACAATGTCAAAGTACGGTAACAGGTTTTTATGAAATTGTGGGGACCAAATGTCCCCACAATGTAATACAGACTCGCACGCACAAAGATATGGTAATATACAGTATATCTGGATACAGTGTAAAGAGGGGTACATTCTGTTATAGCAGACATTTTAGCAACGCATTTCAATACGTAATTTATGTCCTATCTCATACAGGAGATGTTTGCGGTGAGTAACACTAGGGGGCACTAAAGTACCACTCAAAACTCAGCGCGGCAATGTCACTGTATCTGCGGTCAAGTGTTTGGAACTGCAAATGAGATTTTATGGTTAAAATGCAGCTAGTAAACGAATTATGTATGTTTTGCTATGTGAAATGACTTGAATGCTTTACAATGAATATCATTTGCGTTATCGCCATGAAATATATGTAATGTATTACATCTGGACATATTTAGTAAGACCATATTTTTATCTGCAGTAACATCTTAAAATTTCAGGGAATTTTTTTTTAAGTACATTTCCTTAAACATTTCCAGCACAATTTAAATGTCCCCTGCAAGCTAAAAATCTAAAAACTGGAACAATCGTCATTTTGGGGGGAAGTAACTTAATGTCTATGCCAGCTGAGTCTTCAGATTATATATTTGTCTTTGTGCCATTTTATACCAGTATGCTTTTTTAAATGATGAGTAATACCTTAATCAGTTTTGGGACAGGGGCACATGAAGGGTAACAGCTCTGTGGTTGGGGTCTTGAAAATGCCCCCACTTTGTGTGTGGACTTTGAATGTTCTCCCTGGGCCCTTGGATGGCTGGCATCCTGTCCAGGGTGGCCCCCAGACTTGTGTCCTGTGCTGCCTGGGATAGACTCCAGGCCGCCCACAACCCAATCCAGCGAAAGCAGCTGGATGATTGGAAGGGTATAGCAGTGTTGAAGACATAAATGTATTGTAACTGCGATATCTATACAGTTTGAAAAACTTTAGTTAAAACAGTAGGATGGGAAATACTTATATACGGATGCAATCTACTTGTATTACAATGCTGGCCCTTTGTAAAATGAACACGTTCAGTAGTACTGAGAAAAGCTTCGTATTGGATTACACAGAGTGTTAAAAATGAGCCTGAATAGACGCCTTTATGTTGTGAGTGGGTTTTTTTTTCTTTTCCAACCCCCCTTCAAAGGCAATACTGTTTCCTGTCACAGAATTTTGACATAGCCCCCCTCCTTGTTTGTAACCCCCCCCCATCTCTGTGCTTTCACTCTCTCTCTCTCACTCACACACACACACACACACACACACACACACACACTCCCGGTGCATTTGGGAGACCGACCTGGAGCCGGAAAAATCCCTGATATTTGAGGCCTTTCGGAGGAGGGGTGAGGAGAATCCAATGCGCATGCGCGCTGGGTCGAGCCTGCGGAGGAAGCGCGTTCGCATTCGAGTCATACCAAGCATAGCCTGCGTGTCCGTGCAGTCTACTTGCAGCGGGCTGTGAGGAGAACTGACGCGACCCTTTTGTCCCCCTTTTCCCCCAAACAGACGCAGTTTCTCAAACATTTTAAGCACGAAAAAAGACTCTTAAGCGTCGCCGGAATTGTTTTGAATAGATATTTTATTCAGGAGGCTCAACCCTTGAAGGGTTGAAGTTTTGTTTTGCTCGGAGAAGTTGGCTGAAGGCTGGGCCTTTGGCGCTGGGAATTATTCCTGAAGGAAAAAAAAAAGAAAAAGCTTAACGGTCGCACCATTTCTCCTTCTTGCCTAAACTTTAAAAGCAATCTAGCTGGTCTTTTTTGCTCGATAAATGCTTCTTACGAAAATGGACCTGTTGAACTACCAGTATCTGGACAAAATGAACAACAACATCGGCATACTTTGCTACGAAGGTAAACAAAACGTTTTACTTTATCCTCTCCTATGTTTTGTTACTGACCTTTTAAAAGTCGTTTTCATAGAAAGTTAAAGGGTTAAAGGCCCAGTACGGTCGCAGCAATTAGCGGACTTGTCTAAGCTGCTCGTAAAGTAACGGTTTTCCATTTTATATTGCTGCCGTGTCGCTTTTCTAAATTAAGGATAATTAAGTTTCTGTCAGTAGATACGCAGCGACTGATTTACACAAAAGAATATTGTCTGATTGAACAATTTATAAAAAGTATAAAGTCGACTGGAAACAGTGTAACAAGTTAATGGCTAATTGAAAGCCTTTTCACTGTTTCAGAGGTCCGTTCTGGACCATCTCTCCTTACAATGTCGATGTTTTTCTTATAAGTAGGGTTAGGTTCTTGTGGCCGTACTTTTTATAAGAATTAAAGACCGTATGAAGCATACCCAAAGGGCGGATGGGAGGAAAAGTGCCCCCTCTCTTAGGACAGAAAACCTACTTCGTGTGGTTCATGTGGGGAAAAAAGTTAGATGGAGAAGTGCGATACAGCCGCAATTCGAGGCTGAGAGGTACAGTATGTGCGGCGATCGAAGGGAGCAGATAAATGTTTGTTCGGCAGCCTATATAGAAGTCGAAGAATGCCGTGTATGTGTGCTGTGTGATTTTCTTGCATGAAACATAAGTGGTAAAATGGAGCTTTAGTGGAAGGTCCCGACTTTCTCTGAACTTTGAAAGGACTCACTGGACAGCTAGCTATGGCATTATGCTGATCAGAATGGAGCTGGTTTTACTCTTGAATCAGACCTATCATGTCTGATTTAATAATTAAAAAATAGGTATCATTCAAATATGTTCATTTTTCTTTGTGATGTTTTTGGTCCTCTCCAGACTTGCAGCTTAAGTGTATTAACCATGTTGCATTCAGCTCTTGATGTGCTTGGTTAAGTGTCTGTCTAAGGGATATCTGTAAAGGCATGTTCTTCCGTATTAAGACTGCTTGCAATTCGCCTGTATTTCCAGTGATATTCAAGGCCTCTTTTGTGGTTCTATAGTTGAATTGTGGGTTATTTTATGTTTGAACTCTAGTAATTGTGGAAACGGCCGTTTTAGAAGGCATGCAATGGAGTATTTTAAGTTAGCGTAGTAGTTTTAAGGACTGGAGATCAGCAGGTTTCTGGGCCACTTCCCAGGGGGGAACTGTTGCGGTATTTCCTGTTCATAAGCCAGGATTTCATTAAAGATGATATCTAGTTGTGAATTTAGATGCTTTACAGTGAGTAAACTAAGATCCCCTGGATTAAAAAAGCCTTCCACACAAAGCATTGGTTAAAATAGTTTGCTAATCTGGGGGTTAGTTCTGCCTGAAGCTGTCCAGAGGTGATGCCCAGTGTTCAATAGTGGAACTGCAATGCAAAACCAGGTGGTGGTGTTCGCTGTAATGGGGTCTTTTGTTTTTTTGTTTTTATTTATTTGTTTTTCTTCAAGGAGTGCTGCGGTACAACAGGCACCATGAAGAATCTTGTTATCTGACAAAAAACCACCATAACAGGGACTTTAAGGGGGCCCCAGAGTCTCGTCCAAAGCATCCGGGCTGTACTGTCCTCCTGTTGTCAGCCGTCACATGTCAGACTACGGAAACACGATACACACACACACACACACACACACACACACACACATGGCGGGGCTCAGGCCTCAGACGCATGTTGTCTCCTAGCGTGGAAAATGAAAAGCAGAGAAGAGTGGTTTTATTTTGTGCTGCATGCCTCTGAGAACACGTTAAAGTGCATAGACCCCTGGGGTGGTGCACACCTACACTGACAGGGGGATCCATTTTGCCATTGTCCAGGATTTCCCTCTTCTATGCAAAGACCCCATCTCTGTAACTTTGCCACACTTTTTTTGTGTGAATATCTGATACTTATTGTTTGTTTGCTTCTGACACGCCCCCATTTGTGACATTATAGCCATAGAGCTAAATGAAGCCCCATTGATTCCTCTGGACCGGACACTTTCCTTGAAACCTTTTGATTCCTCAGTTGTGTAAACATTCCCCTCGTCGCCATGCTCCCGCTGGACGTCGTGTAGTATGTGGGTTCAGGTTTTAGAGGGCCGGAGTCAGATTGTCGGCCACATTTGATATGGGCTCGTAAAGTGTTGGCATCAGTGGTGCCCCTCTGAACGGAGGCCATGTGTTTGTATAAAATATCAGTGTCCTGATGCTATTCAGGCTTCTGTCACGTTCACCCTTGTTTAAACAGCTAGTAGTATTGTGATTATTTCTGTTGGCCACTCACCGTTGCTGGTATTGACCCAGAACATTTCAGCTATGCTGAATTACAGCAGTGGCTTCTCAGGGTGTTTAAGATTTTTGTGTGCTGAATGTACAATATAAACTGTCGCCAACTTTTATAATTTTATGGGTGCAAGAGGTTTTATTGGACCTGACTGACTGTTCTATTCGCTTTTCTGTTTGAATATCACCGGCAAATTTTCTTCAACAGTAAAAGAATTTGATGCGCAATGATTGTAACTATTATGTGAGAAATATGCACATATGTAATGAGTGCAAATTATTAGAGCAGTAAATGTCGTCTTGTATGTTTTGTTTTTGCTCTTATTTTTGACTGATTATATTAATATCTCTTGTTTCTGACTCCTCCTATATTGGATTTTTTTATTTGCATAATCTGCCAAGCAGGAACATTGAGTAACATCAAACAGTCTGAACTGCCCAGATTTTATTGACCTTCATTGTAGCAGTTTGTATTGCTTCTAATTTTATGGTGCTCATCTTTTTTATATCAGGCAAGTGTTTGCCTTTATCCTGCTGTTTACAAAAAAGGTCAAAACAATTACCTCTGACAGTCTTGAGGATAAATAAGGCTTTGACATGCTTTCATCTGATACTGTTTTGGCTGCTGGTTAATTTAAATGTATATTGTAATACTGCTGAGCACACTTTGTATGTTCAGATCATTTTTGCTGAAGAGCGGCTAAAGTAAATCAGTTGCTTGGGAGCTTTGGGTAAAAGCAGGAAGTTGGCAGTGTTTAGTTTATTAAAACACACGTTTATCGTGTACAGAGAGGGAGAACAAGAAGCCTTATGTGTGTTCTATCACTTTTTTTTTATACTGGCTTTGATTTACTTTGCTTAAAGTTGTTCTTTCTTCCCAATTTCCCAATTACAACACGCTAGCTTTTTGTCTTGCACTGTATGACTTGGTCAGCTTCAGATAAGTCACCAAAGATGAACTGGCAGATCAATGAAGCACATTCAGCTGATGTGGTCGAGAGGTTGCACAGTGCCGCTGCTCTTAATTTATTTTGAAGGAGTGTTGTTCACTTAGTGGGCCTAATTATTCAGGTTCACACAACATGGTTGAAAGGCCTGCCTGCTGGTATGCCCCCCCCCACTAAGTGAATCGAGGCTAATCGGGGCTAATATACAATCACAGCCATTTCTGCACACTCCTAGCGTGGCGCGCTTTCTGCTATTTTTAATGGAGCCAAATAAATTACGGAATGCTTTTCTAGTTGGTTCTTAAATTGTGTCCACGGACAGGCACATCGCTGCAAGTGCAGCTGGCCAGGCTTAAATTGTTGGGCTGTGCAAATCTGTTTATATATTCTGATGTAATCTTTCAGATTAGAACTCTTCTGATTTGAGATGCCCAAATGATCTGATTTTGATTAACGCATTACAGCTGTTGGCTTGTGCAGTGTTTAAATTCTGCCACAAAGTTCAGTGCACGTGTGTTTCTCCTGTGCCGGAGCATGTTTTGTCCTTGCAAACTTGTCTCTCTCCATCTTCAGCATTGCCACATCACATGGTAACATACTGTGTGTTGGTTTTGAGAGAGTTTGAGAGTTGGGGTAAAATCATTGGCATGTTTTACGTACTGTGATCGCTTTAGCTTGTAATTGGAAGCTGTCCTGTATAGATGGCATTGCGGTTACACATGGGGCTGACCTATCTCCCCCCATGCCACTTGCTGCCATGACATTTGGTGCTGCTGTGGGGGGTGGGGGGTGGGTAGTGCTGACTGCCACTTTTTCTTGCTGATCAAATGCGGAAAATCTGCCTGCAGCGGATAAGTCGAAACTTAATTGATCCTTTTGGGGGGGGGGGGGTTATTTAACAGCATTACAAAACTAAAAAAAAAAAAAAAACCCCCCCCCCTTTTCCCCCCCCCCCCCCCCCCCCAAAGAAAGAAAGCTGGTGGTATAAATGAGGTAGAACAATGGGTGGTACATAATTTACTGCAGGTAGAACGGTATGGTGATGGGTGGGGTTAGGAATATGGAGACCAGAGCCATTGTGTAAATACGGAGTTCGATGTTGTGTGTCTCCCAGACCTTTCTTGGTTCCCTGAACCCCTTTTCTCTCATTTTAGGGGAGTTTTTATTCGTGACTGTGTGGCAGTGTTCGGTCATGAATTCCAAGTATTTTCCATGTATGGCAGCGTGTCCCAGTGTATATCTGTTAATATCTAAAATGGATCCAAGATTTGAGTCAGTCAATAATAGATTTTTTATTATTTTTTTTGCAAGCAAAGAAAACGTCTGCTTTTTCCCCCTCTTTTGATTTGAAAGACGTGTATGCATCTGAAAATAAAGGCGCCTCTGGTGGTCAGTTCAAATTACAGGGAATGGCAGCCAAAAATATCATTCTCAAAGTGCAGCGCGCTTCTTCTGCTTGCTTTTTAGTGCTGCGGGGGGAGGGGGAGGGGGCGGAGTGCTCATGATCTGTGTAAAAAGATCTCATCCTGAGCTTCATGTTTGAAGTCCCAAGAAAGTCTCCTTTGATCATTTTCACTTAATGACTGACTGCCTTTCATTAGATCAAACATTTTAATGTGTCTCTCTTGACACAGATAGTGATCTTTATGGCTCAGAGGCCAGTTCTTAACAAAGGTTACTGTACCATAACTTTTTAGGTACAGCAGAAACTTCACTCCGTCACCTCACTGCAGTCCCCTCCCCCCCTCATGTGGTTTAACACACACTGCCTCCTGATCCTCTAGATCCCTTGTGGATCATACGTCTTGTTGTGGAAAGTAACCCCTGAACATGACAAGCAAAGAAATGTGACATTTAACTTGTGGTTTCTCTGAAACTACTGGGCCATCAGGGTCCTGGGTTTTGGGCAAATCTCCCACAAGATGGTGGCTGATGTACTGCTGTAGTGCATTGGATGGAGGACGGTCTTGCTGAAACCCCAAGAGAGCCTCTCTTAAGGGAGAATGGGGTTATCCCTTGTGCCCTGCCTGCGATGCTTGTTTTCTGCTTTCCTTCATGGTGGAAAATGTGATTCTTATACCTTGACTGTTGTCAAATTATGGATCAGGTGTGAAATGGAGCTGGTTTCAAGTTAATTATCAGCTCAAAATGCGTGTTGATGTCAGTTTGCTTAAAGGAGAAAGAAGTGTGACTGTGGCAATTTGAATAGCTTCTGCAAGAATAATCTTCTACGGGGTTTTCATACCAGTATACGGTATGAAACTCACAATAGCAACACTATTTGAGTACTTCTGTTTTCATACTTGAATGCCAGTGCAGATAGGCTATCAATTTATGCTGGATGGGGGGGGGCTGATCTGCAGTGGATCGCCTGCAGTCCTCTTTATTACCGGCCCTCTCTCTTGCCAAAACGATGATGTCATCCCAGTTGCCATGGCGTGCGGTCAGACGAGCAGAGACACGCCAGTCAGGAAAATGGGCCTCTTGTTTTGGAAGCTCAGCGCTGGTAGCCTTCTCCCCAGGGTAGGCTGGGCCGTCCTTTTGTTAATTTAACACCGGCTAATTTCATCTTTTTTGTTTTTGGTTCAGTTTGATCACTGGCTTCTACTACTCTGCTTAGTTTGTGTTGCCTTTTCACGGGAGTGAACTTATTTCTTTTAAAGTTGTCAGTTAATTTTAGTGCTGGACGGAAGGGAAGGAAAACGTGCATCGCGGACTGTGCAGCCGTGATTCAGGAAGGTCTCTCCCATAAAAGCAGTCTTTATATGAGCCCCATGCTTTGCACTGTTTTGATAGTGGTTTGCATTTTGTTATACCAATATTTACCAGACGCAGAATTCGCATTTTGCTAAACCAGCTTTATTTATTTATTTTTAATTTTTTTATACTAAATCTAAAATTTAGCTAAAGTGGAAAGTCCCCACCGAGGGTAGCTGCCAGTGGTAGTTTTCCTGCGTTACTCCCACTCAGTCCACACATTGTGCATCTACTCAAAGCTGCTGGACTCAAATACCAGCTTGTACAGGTCGGGTGGAGCTGGAGGCGGCCTCCTCAGTCTTGTGTGTGAATCTGCTCCCTGTTGGCGAAATGTAGGAATTAGCATACTGTAACTGTAGGGCAGCAGTGGCTTAGCTGTCCCATGGTGTCTTGATAAGCAGCCTAGTCTAATCTCATTGGGTGATTTTTATCACACTTTATAGCTCTGTCTGGGGAGACCTTTTATGAGGAGGACGGCATTAATCTTAGGCTGTATTAAACCATGTTGCGTCATGGTTACTCTGTGAAAGGAGACCTTGCTGCGAATGTAATAAAGTTTCAAGTTACAGAGGCTAATCGGGGCTCTTCGATGACAAAGGCCTGGTGGTTGATGGCAGGAGTGTGTAAACTCATGGTAGCTGGTTGGAGTCCCACCTGGAGCTCTGTCGGTGTGTTCCTAAGCAAGGCAGTGGGCCTGAATTGCTTTAGGTAAAAAAAAAAAATCCCTGTATAGAAGTAGGCGAGTCTAAACATACCAGGTCTGCATGAAGGTGTTTGGAGTAACCTCAGCTCTGGAGTGTTGTGCATGGACCAAGTGCTGAGTGGCTGTCCGACTTCTGCTTGCAGGTGAGGCGGCTCTGAGGGGCGACCCCAGGATGCAGCCGGTATCCATGTCGTCGGCCATCACCAACCACAGGACCGGGCCTCCTCCTATCAGCCCCAGCAAGAGGAAGCACAGCGGGGACCAAGTGGACAACGACATTGACTGCGACAATGAGCATGTGGCAAAGATGAGCCGGCTGTTTGTGGCACAGCTGTAAGTGCGACATGTAACTTCTGACTTTATTATATGACATATGCCCCAACATTGTGCTCTGTGCTGCCTGGGATAGGCTCAAGCCCCACAACCCTGACCAGGATAAGTGGTTAGAATATGGATGGATTATAGAAGGCTATATTTGCTAAATGACATGTGGGTCTATTGGACCCCTGGTTTCAAACCATGCTAATTTATCCAGTATAGCATGCAGAGTACGACGTTTACTGCTGAAGTTATGTTTCTACAAGGCTACAAAGAGATGTCCTTCTTGCATGCAGTGAGAAATAAATACCCTCATTTATTAGGTGTGTGTGTGTATGCCAGGGGTACTTCTGCTAAAAGCTTATCATGGTTTGGAGCAGTCTGCCGGTTGGCATGGAGCTACGGCCCAGAATTCCTTGCATTCCAGGCCTGTGATTGGAGCACATGGCACGTCTGAGGCAGCCGCTGCTGGGGCCCTCGCGTTCCACGCATTCCTGCCTGCACGGAGTGACTTGTGTTCGATCATGGGACTGCAGACATGGCTATTTATCGTCAAATAACTCATGCCAGTGTCAGGCAGAGCCTGGCCTGGAATGTTTCATGACCTGCTGGGACTTGGGCGCTTAAGGGAGACTAGGGGACCCGGCCAGACCAATTTCCGGGTGGGGGGGATATATGGGATCCTTTTCAATCAAAATAGAAACTTCCCCCATAAAATGGACAGCCATCGTTTCTGAGTAGATGGCCCTCGGGACTTATTTATTGACAATTTTAAGTTTTATGTGTTTTTTTTGTACTTTTTTTTTTGTAAGGTGTAAACCTTATAATAACCTATACATTTTAAATATAAACATTTTAAATATGCACTTCAAAGCTATTCGCAGAAAGGACTGTTTGGTCACATTTAGTTATAGCTTTTAGCAGGGAGCAGGGCAGTTGAAGGGGGTTCATTCCATTTTTGGCATATGGTTTGTGGGAGGTGAGGGTCATGTGATTTTGAGTGGAGTGGGCCACGGGACAAAGAAAGTCCAAACAGGCATTTGGACCATGGCACGCATCTAGCCAAGCTTTGTCAGCACATGCATAAATATCATTTTCAAAAAAAGGTCATGATTATTCCTCCCCCCCACGTTCTTTCCATTGTGGTTTCTCCCACTGTCCCTGCATCCCATAAAAAGTCAAGAGAGCGCGTGGTCTCTGTGATGCCACTCAAAATGGATGTGCCATACTGTCAACTTTTGCATTGTGGCGTGTGGTTTCGTAGCGCATTAATTTCTGAAGAAAATAAGTGGCCTTTGACAGCCACGTAAACGCAGTTTAGAAGTGGTTCATTGTACAGTCTGCCATGCCCACTCGTGTGTAAGCAGTGTCCAAATGAAAAAAACGTAGGCTTTGGTAAGAACGGAAGCTGCTCTGGATAAACGCGGTTTGTCTGCTTTCAGCTGAGGTCGCTAACAGTTCTTGCAACAATAGCAGTTCACTGTGATTTGCAAGTGACTTTTTTTTTTTTTTTAGGAGTAAATGAATAATGTATATATTTTCTGACCTTGCGGTCCTATATAAAACAAAGGGAAATAAAAACAAACCTTTATTTTAAAACCGAGCTCCTCTTGGAATAGTTGAGGACCTCTAGTTTACTTTCTTGAGCTATCTTCCTAAGAAGCATGTGATTCTTCTAAATTGAAGTTTGCTGATCTGTTTCCCTACTGTCTTTTTTTTTTCTTTCTTTTAAGTCCCCCTCCCCTTTGCCCACAATAGCTAACTGATATTGGATATCAGTAGTGGCCCTGTCGGAAGTTTGCCGTTTGTCGTAGGTAAACTCAGTTGCTCTTCAGATCCCGCTTCTCCTGATGAAGTTTAACCCCGTGACTCTATATGTTTGCTCTGTGGAAAACTGTCCCCGAATCAGCTGTTAAATTTTTTGCCATCTCAGACAGGTGAAAGTAAAATGCATGGAAGCATTTAAATCATGTTGTATTCAGATTAACCCGATGCTGTGTGAGTGGACTGGTTTGGTTTAGCTTGCTCAGGTTTTTTTTTTTTTTAATGAACCTAACAAAAGCCAAGTCTCTGGTTGCTCTGGGCGTTTTGTGCTCTTCTCGTCAGGCAGGGGCCATTTTCTCATTTTCACAGTTGAGCTGAAAACAAAAGCCTCCTTATCCTGTCGGCTCACTGCACGCTGGAAGCCTGCACTGGCCCGTCTCCCTGCAGCGCCCCCGCCCCTGCCAGCCCCCCCCACCCCATCCCTGCCGTAAAAGTCTCGCTGCATCAGCGTGATCCTCCCTCTCCTGCAAGGCTGCCTCCTGCGGATGCCTCTGTTGCCAGAAAAACGCTGGTAGGCAGATGGCTTTAGTGAGAGCGCCTTGCTGCAGTAAGAGTCCCTCGCTGTGGTCTGGGAGTTTACTGCATTAAGAGTCTCCTTCTGGCTGTGGTTTTGGAGGCCCTCGGTTCAGGAGCCCTGTGCTGGGAACCTCTAGAGCAGCCTGTTCTCACAGTTAGGCCTGAGGAGAACAAGCTGGGCCAGGGTGGCCAGATCTGGTGAAATCACTCAGCGTGTGGTTGTTTAACGTACTGTGCTTGCCGAGAGCTGCTCTTCTACTCGCTACATGCTTATTTAGTACTTTTATTCCCCTTTGGCTGACAAAATAAATGCAGCATTAGTCTTCTGCAGTCATGTATAGTCAATGCAATTAATTAATCTGTCAGTTTTTAAATTTTTTTATTTTATGAAGATGTTGGGCACCTTGCAGTTAAGCATCCCTTACTGTTTTTAGCAATTCAGGCCCTCAAATCAGCTGTCTCTTAGAGCAAAAGAGCAATTCATTTAAGATTACAAATAACCGCTTAATCCGAACACCACATTTGTTTGTTTGGATGCTGCTATATGAATGTTGTCCAGACTTCTGCTGGTGTATGGTGTCATTGTGCCTTCAGCAGTATTGGACAGTAAATCAGACAAGCTTGTTCTGAAGGCAAATATGATGAGTTGGTCTGCTGCTTTGACTTTAAGATATGTTTTTTTTTTGTGATTTTTTTTTTTTTTTTTTTAGAGTAAGTTGTTTTGAGTTAATAATGAACTCCTGCTTTTGTTTTGGGAGTTCAGCAAATGTGTTTGGAAGGTAGCACAATGAAATAATCCTTGGCAGACTGAATTTCCTGTCTGCAGTGATATCATTTGTGTGTTCAGTCCTTTCTTGTGTGGTGTTTGGCTTTGACCAAGTTTGTTCAAATTATGTGGGATCTTCAAAAAACTTTAGTTGATGATCTAAAGCATGATGAGACTGGAAAGGGCTCTTTAGGCAAGATGGGTAAAAGAGGTGAATCTGGATGGAACACCTAGATCAGTCAACGTGCGGTTGCTAGGGGACTCTCAGCACAAGGCCAAGTTTGTATTCTGCGGTCTTCCCTTCCCTTTCTTCATCTCTCCCAGATGTTTCCTGTATCTCTCCAGCCGAGGCTCAGACGACTTTAAGAAGCGAGGGGGGAAGGGGCAGGATTTGCCGTACTGAAGCTGTAATGGAATACAATTTAGACAAGGCACAAGTTATTACCTCAAGGACAAAGCAGGTCTGTTGAGCACTGTGGTATTCATACATGCTGCCCTTCCATCGTGTTTGTTTGGCATATCATTTCAGAATAATGAATCTCAGGCTTACAATGAACAGAAATAAAACCCCTGGGCTGTTTGGCCTGTGCTTCACCTGCTCTTGTCTTACTCACCACCAGTCACATGGATTACTTACTGGAGGATGAATCTTAAGGGAGGGGACAGTACAGTATGAACAACGTAAGACTAGCAGGCTGAAATCTCATCTTGCTCACAGTGTGGGTTTGTTGTGATTCTAAAATTAATCCATGTTCCTAAACAGTTCTGAGATGCCGCTGCAAATCACACATTACAAAAAAAAATAAAATAATTAGAAGAGGCAGCCAATTGAGGAAGGACCAACCTTTGGTGCTCTAAAGCATGTTTTTGGCTAGATTTCAGTGTCTTTTTGCCATTTGAGTGTTTTATCTTATGTTGTGACTGTATGTTTGCACCTTTGCACCTGTTTATTAGCACACAGAGGTCCAAGGTTACTGCGCTTTTATTTTGAAGGGATGCACAGCCTGTCCTGACCCCCCCCACCCCCACTTCTGCCTTGTATTTTTGCTAAAACAGGACAGCCTGCCAAGTCTGATGGCTGTAGGCTGACTTCTGGGAGGATTCTGGGACTTAAAGCTTTCTGGTTACAATTAACTTTAGGTTAGCACCAACCCACATCCTCAGTCTGTTATGGCAACACCCCTCATTCTTAACTTTGCCGGGAATTTTAGTGAAGCCGTTTTATATACGCATCAGTTGAATAGACGTCATTTACAGAAAGGGATTGTTCTTCCTTCTTACTTACGTAAGTTATCCAATGTCTTTTGGCCAAAAAAAATAGCGTAGATTATAAATAGTGTAGATGTTTTGGAACTGAACACCTTTGCAGTCTTAATGGCATATTACGTAGTTTTGAATGAACTTTTAGCGGGGTTTTCAGATGGTTTTTAGAAATGGGGAAGCTTTTTTTCAGTGCCGTAAAAGTTAGTGCACTTGTTTTGACATTAATATCTCATTTTAACGTGAGAGGGGGTGGATCTGGAATATGAAAATAATTTGTGTAGTCACCCTGTGTAATTTGGCAATAGCGTTGTCAGTCTTTTAAAACCACAAGACATTAGTTATAAATAAACATACAAATAAGTAAGAAACTGCAGTTTTTGAAAATAAATCGTATTACTTTTATAGCTGTAATTTTCTCCATAGTTAAATCAGCTTATAAAGGCCTCATCTAAACCTCAAGCATTGCAAAAATAACATGCCAGAGTAGGTATACTTGGCTCATGATTTCAAGTAAGCTGTTATATACCTAGTATTTTGCATTTACCTTCCCCACCACTTTTTAGACTAATCAAGATCCAGAGAATGCACTCTGGGGAGAAAAACAGACCTAACTTTTGTCTTGCACTGAATTGGCGTGTTCTGACTGGTCCTGAGAGCTTAAGTAGGTTAACACGACAGAAAAATAAGAGAGACATTTGTGCTTGACAGTGGGGGCAGTGGTGATCGTGGGGTTACCTCAGACTGTTTACATTTCTTGTATTTTCATATGGTGTGGGGGAGTGTTTATTGGCGAGGGGGAAGCTTGCTTTGTTGTTAGGATGTTTATTTTGTCCTGGGCACACATTATGCAGCTCTCTCTACTTGTGTTTTGTTTTGTTTGTATGTTGGCATTTGCTTAGCACTGATAGGGAGTATAATTAATTCAGTCTATGGATTTAACATACTCTCTTGACAACTCCCATGTATAATGGTGCATGTGATACAAGGGAAGGTTTTGTCCATTCGTGGCTGTAAGGGAGTGACAGCTTGACCCCCATCTGGGGCGTTCTAGCAGTCTTCTCCAGGAAGTTTGAGCATAAGCGCCCCTAGCAAGCAGACAGATTGCAGCTGACTGTTTGAAATAATGGAGTTAATGCAAGAGAGGGTGGCGGTAGGCACAGGAGAATGGCCTCCAGCGTAGTGCTAGCCTGGGCCGCCAGCCGGCGTGTCCGCTCTCCTGCCCGCCCGGTGAACGCTTCCGGAGGATGGAATCATGTGCCCCACGTTTCCCTTGCCAGTCTGGTTGCCTAGCAACAGATTATTCCTAGTGCCAGAGCTGGCAGGCCCCAGTGTTGCAAATTGAGCCGTTTTCTCTCCCACCCAAAGACACGTTTATTGGTGGGATGACACCGCGTGCGGGCGGGCGGGCGTGCGTGTGGGTGTGTACGCGCGCGTGCGACCTTTCTGTCATTCCTCCAACTCAGATTACCGTGACCGGGATTTGGTTTACAGCACGTGTAGTATCTGTTAATAAACTTAGAACCCTAGGGTTTGCGGTGACTTCCTTCACCGGCTCAGTGGTTTAATTCATGCAGCTTACTCAGAGATGAAGAAGACTGTGGCACCATGTTCAACGATCGACATCTTGACCTCGTGTGACGGTCGACCAAAGAGGCATGGGCTCCGGCCTACAGGCAGTGCACACAGGTCAGCCTCAGATAATCAGATCCCACGTGGGCTTTGCCACCGTTTCACCTACACAGGGTTCTTTGTGTTGCACTGTGGCGATGGGATGCGGCTTTTAGAGAACATAGGTCCTCCTCTTGTTCCAAGGCAGGACCCAGAGGTCCATTGTCCAGCCCCTGCGATGTTGGCTGGCCCAGAAGACGAGTCTTCCTGGAAAGATCCAGAATGGCCTCTGACTATGTTTTTACTGGAGCACCTTTAGGGTCGATCATTGTTTAGGGTTGAATGTTTATTTCATTGCGGCTTGTGAAAGAATATACTCTGCTGGGGCTGCTTTCCCCAAATTCGCCTGCTTTAATCCAAGGTTCCCATTGCCCATCCGCTAACGGGCTTATCAGCCCGTATTCAGTGATTGCACATGCCCCTGTTAACGCAGCGCGGCGTGTTTACGAACCCGCTGAGGCAGCCCTGTCTGAGCTTGTACCCCACCTAATGCACACGGCCTTCACCTACCTTTGTGTCCTGCAGAGGGAAGCCAACCAATGGCGATTTCCGCAAGGACCCCCGGGATCGCAGCCGCAGCCCCGTGGAGCGCGCCACCATGCCGCATCTGAGTTTCCATGGAAACGTCTACAGCCACTTGTCCGGCCTGGGAATGGACCAGCCCCTTGCACTGACCAAAAACAACGTGGACGCCGTCCGTACTGTGGCCGTTCCGCCCGCCGTGGCTGCAGTGGAGCGTCAGCAGGTAAACCATGACCGCGCTGTGATCCTGCGAGTGTGGTCAGGATTCTAGGGGACACTTCATAACTTCCCTCATTTTAGGGAGTAAGGCTAGTGTTTATCAATGCTGCCCTTCAGTTTATTTCTAAGCTTGGGAATAGGAATGCCAGTCTTACTAGCCTCAGCATCCTGATTTGATCAATTTCATTTTCTCCTTCAGAGATTTTGCACTTTATGTTTAAGTCGTCCACAGCAAACGGTCCATCTGACAGTCTGCCCCCTGTGCTGTTTCAGAACCGCCCCTCGGTCATCACCTGTGCCTCTGCTAACAACCGCAACTGTAACCTGTCGCACTGCCCCGCCACTCACACCAGCTGCTCGTCCAGCATGCTGCTGAACTACCGAAGGCCGCCCAACAGTGAGTCCCAACATCCGGCACTTCGAATCCTTACCGGGGAGTCCCTCTATGCTCCTACATGTGGAAAAATCTGGCAACCTGAACTGCCTTTACGGGAAGAAGGTAGTTTGGGTTTCTGTGCTTTTTCAGCTTTTCTCGTAACCGTTGTGCATGTCTTGGAGGCCTCAAGACCCAGTAGCCAGTGGGGATTTTTGGACTTCTGGTCCAGGGTCACGGGGTGAAGTCATTTTGATTCCCCGCAGGGCTAGCTGTGCACAAAGCCGCTCTTATTCTGTCCACCTGCTTTAAGAGCGAAATTCCATATTACCAAGCGTATTAAATGATCAGAGCAACAGGTAGTGATTCCTGGCTGTCTTTTGTACCACCAGCCCCCAGCCCCCCCCCCCCCCCCTTTGGGGAGGGGGGAACTTATTGTTCTCATGAATACAGTCTGGCAGCCAACTTGTCAAGGTATTATGTAAGGGGGCGGGGGAAGAAATATAATTAATGATGAATAACACGGCATTAGCACAAAGGCCAATTCTGTCTCTTCAGAAAATGCACAGGGGCCGGGTTTTCTTTTCACTAAGGATAGAGGCGTGTGGGTCCGAGAACCAATCTGACAGTAAAGGTTCCCATAAGCTACCCACAAAGACTATCAAACTTTATAAAAGAACTGGAAATAAGACTATAAACAGCTTTAAAAAAAGTGTGGTTTTATTATGCAGCTTAAGGGGAAATAAAGTGGGTCCCTCTGAGATACTCAAGGCTCCATGGAAGAGTGCTGTGCCTTAAAGCTGCTGTTAAAGGCCTCAGAGGAGGGGGGGCCCTCTTGGATGGGCCCCCGGCTTGGCCGTGAGGGAGACGCCCGCCACCCTCATCGGCACACGCGGGGTTTGTGTACTGCTGTGTGTCTGAATGAGGCCCACTAGCTTGTAATTTATCATCATGAAGTAGGGCTGTCAAAATTAACGGGTTAACGCGGATTAATCCATCATCATGATTAATCTGATTAAAATTTTTAACGCAATTAACCCATCTGCAGCGCAGAATGATTCAAAATCCCTGAAATGTCTGTGTCAACCCATTTTGGGCAGTTTTGGTGTGTTCCATTTGCCCTCGGAACTAGTATTCCGAGTCGGATTCCGGAGTTTTGAAGTCAGAAGTAACGACATGCACGGTCCCGTTTCTCGGAGATCTCGGAGCAGCACAGTGGATCCCGAGTTCAGAATCCAAGATGGCTGCGCCTTTTAGCAACAGAAGGGAAAGTTGTAGTTTTACTGTTTAAGTACTACTTCTCATTTGTGGCTCATTAAATCGGTCGCACGCTATACCGTCCAAGTTATCTGTGGATGTGTTGCTACGGAGTTTTATATGTAAAGCACCGCACGTAATGTGTTATCAACTGATATTGCTAACAATGGCAATTAACCGGGCTAGAATTGGACTTCATGGTTAGTTGGATTATTTGTCGGATTTACGGTAGTTCGTGCTAATTGTAAGCGAACGAAGATAAAGACCATTTAAACTGAGGTACCTTAAATCCGACAAGTTGTCCGGCTAAACAAAAAATCTTGCTTTTTGATATGGGTCCATGGTATTGCACTTCTGTGGCAGATGGAATACATCCGACTCATGTTCAAGATGTTCAATAAACATGTTAAGTGCATATATATTCCCTTTTTTCTTGAGTCGGTTTGCTCATGTAAAATTAAATGTGATTAATATAGATTGAAAATGAATGGTATTTAATCGTGATTAATCGAAATTAATCCACAGCAACCCTGTGATTAATCTGATTAAAAATTTTAATCGTTTGACAGCACTATCATGAAGATAGCGGTTCATACACTGGTTCACTGGTAGACCTATGCTGACACTTACACCCCCCACCCCCCCAGCCAACACAGCCTGCGACCCCGTCATCGAGGAGCACTTCCGCCGCAGCCTGGGCAAGAACTACAAGGAACCGGAGCCGGTGACCAACTCGGTGTCCATCACAGGCTCGGTGGACGACCACTTCGCCAAGGCGCTGGGCGAGACCTGGCTGCAGATCAAGGCCAAGGGCAGCAGCTCTGGCAGCAGCCCTGAATCGTCCCCCTCCAGCCACATGGTCAACCACAGCCACTCCCCATCTGTGGCGTCCTGAAGGGCAGCGCATGCCCGTCGCGCCTCCCTCAGCTGAGCTCGGAACAATGCTAGCAGATAGTTGTGTACATAAGGATGGAGAGGGCAGGAGCTTTTGGCCTTTATTTTAACTTTTTATTTTGCGTTTGCATACGTGCTTGGCATTTGCATTATCCAGTGCCCGACGACATGATAAAATAAGCAGGAACTTAATATTAGGAGTTGCATCTCATAGCTTCCTACCACCTGCCTCTGTTACCAAAGAAACCTCTGATGCAAATCTGTCCCACCACCCTCCACCCCCTTAAAGGAAAGCCATTCTCCCAGTGCCTTCCCCTCACCGGCCGTTAGTCTCCTCCCACCCACATACTCGCCCCATCCACCCATTTGTTTAGTAGTTGGATGTCTCAAAATCTCAAAAATTCCCAGGCTGCATTGCACTATTGGGCCAAGGGTTTGAGGCTGCCCATCTGCCTCGCATCACATAGCTGGCCTTGTGTTCGGTGGGCAAACTGCCCACAGTTGTGGTAAAGCTGGTCACATTCTGTTACATCCTGGCAAATTGGGGCTGGTGGCGGGCCTTGGCCTCTGACTGCTAGGTTCTGCCTCTGTATTATCCCCACATCAGCTGGTGCTGTCAACTCGACTGCATCACTCTGAAAATGGGCATTTTATAGTTACATATTTTTTTTGTCTCTCCCCCCACCACCCCCAAGCACTGTGGTTTGCATAGATAAGTTTGGAAAGGTAAAATAGTGCTTACTGATGCATGTTTTAAATAGCTGGTATCTATTAATGTATAGACATTTCAATCTTAATACTATTAGCCTTTCCTCAGATTTAGTTTATTTTTGTCAGTAACAGTCCTAGATATACTTACTGCTGGTACAGTTGTACTCTATATATATATATATATATATATATATATATATAATTTTTTTTTTTTTTTGTCTTTGATATCCATTATGGTAGATGCCAGCGACAGAGGATAGCCTCCGGAAAGGCCTACTATACATAAACAAGTCAATGTAATGTTAATCCGTGGTACAGGATGCTATAGCTTTTTTTTTGCATGACTGAATAAGAGAAATACTTACTCAGCTGTAGACTGGTTGACCCTGAGTGTCGACCATCTCCCTAATTTTTTTTTGTTCCATCTACTCTAAACAACTTTGCATGTAGCAAATGGCTGCAATTTTATTTAATTTTTTTACTTCCCAACCTGTATCAACGCAACGTACATTCCTCCTATAGGGAACTTTGTACAGGTGTTATCCCCCCCCCCATAATACCTACTAACTGAAAACTAAGAGGGTAACATGGAAGTGGAGCCTAGTGCGGTTTGGGTGAAAGCGTGTCTGCCTCGTCCGGAAGTCATGCGCTCGTACATTCCATCACCTGTCCCTCGTCGGACTCATTAAGCCATGGAGAAATTGACCGGCTCGCTGCTAGATAGTTCGTTTGATATCTGGATACAGGTTTAAACAGAATTAGTTCTCACTTTCTGGAAACCCTTTTAAGATGAAAAAGAGAAGCTAAAGTCAATTTTAGGCTCCTGAATATGATCCCACCATTGTCATGTATCCATTTCACTACCAGTTCAGTAGGTAGGACATTCTTTCTGCTTGGCATACAATACCCTACACACTGTAGGAAAATCACTTAATAAAAAACTTTTTTTATATAGGTAACTATAAGACCATCATTACGCTGTGCGTAACGAATGTACAGAGAAAAAAATCGTAGGTATTTTTTGAGGAACAATTAATTTGTTAATGATATGTAGCTATTTAATTTTCCCTATCCTTTATTGTAATCATGCATTTTTTTCAAGAAAAAGTTGATCTTTTTTGTTTGTAGAGTTGTCTGTTTTAAGGTTTTAAAAAGTGCAGGAACACAGTTATTCTTTAAACACTGCGTTAATATAGCCACTCATTTGTAATTGCTGAAAGGCTACTGAGCGGTTTCAGAGCAGTACAGAGCACAGATAATGAGATCTGGTGTTTGTCAGTCGTCAGAACAAGTGTTCATTTTGATAATGACGGACCTGAGATGGGCGTCCACACCGTTCAGGTCCAGTACAGTGCTGAAAACATGACCATATTTAAATAGATCAGCGGAAGACTTGCTGTGCTTCCAGATTTTTTATTTTTTTTTAACCATTTATTCACTTGGAATCAGCATCAATGGTGGACTTCTAGATGCTCAAAATGGTTTGTAAATCTGTATTATACCCTTGTTTCGTGGCCTTGTGCAAAAAAAGGTTCTGGCAGGCCACCTTTTTGTACTTAAAAGTAGCCTTAAAGAACAATAAAGTGCTCTTAAATCACTGTGCCGTGTGCAATTTCTTTCCTACCCGTTGTATTTATAACGCACAACATTGGATCCCTGGCCTGTTAACAATCACTTCTAGGCTTTTGGCAGGTTAAGCTACAGATGAAAGTTAAATGTGGCTTATTTTAATGTTGCCATGTGGGTGTATGTCAGCTTGTGGAAAATGTCTGCTCAAAGGGACCAGTTCATAAACAACTTAGTGTTTTTTTTGTTTTTTTTTTTTGCAGGTGGGGGGGGGGTCAGGTCTCATGGTATGGTCTGTAAAAAATATGAGGAAACCACTACAACTAGAGAGCATTGTCACATTGAGGTCTACAGTCATGGTAAATCATGACTATCAGTAGGCAATTTCTCTGTAGTGTGAATGAAATTCACATGAAATAGGAATGGCTTTAATAAATGAACAGAGATGTCCAGTTTTTAATGAAGCAGTATGACATTTTAGGTAGGCACACTTTTCTTGCGCTGACCAAGTTGCATTTTGTTGTTCATTCTTATCACCAACCAATATCCGAATAAAGTCCTGGTGCAGATCTGAGTGGGCCTTTCCTGAGCAGCACCGGGCCGTTGGGTCGAGCGCCTCCCTTCCGCAGAGTCAAACGCTGGTCGGAGCTGTAAAGGACGCTCTCACTTCCCTCTATGCTCCCTGCGTGGCCCTAAACGCTTTCGTCATCACTCATGTCCCAGATCTAGGCAGAAGAAGTGAAAAGGAGCACATTAATCATACATCTTAAACGCAGGTCTCCCTGTTAGCATGCGGCATGCTCATTTCCAACATCGTCCGTCTGACTCTAGTTTCCACTGTCAAAAACAAGAAAAATAAAGATGCCAAAATACATAGAAAATAAACATTGAAAGCAACCTTTTCATTAAAAAATATGAATGTGAGGACAGACCCCACTGTCGTCAGCACAATCTGTACAACGCCTATGGTCCTTGGACACTGAATTAAACTCCACACTGGAAAAATAAAACAAGCTCATCTCAATGGTGCTGCCATTGATACCTGGTTACTTGCTCATGTAGGTAAAGAAGGCCATTCAACTCTGCGTTTCTCTTTGCTGTATATAATGCCCATTAAAGTATTTTATCGCAGGCTTGTCCTGATAGACAATGTACATTTGCCCATGAGAACCAGCTACTCTGCCGGAGAGGCTTCTGGACTGGAATGGTACATTTTGTAAAAGGATCGCTTACAAAATCCCTTTCTGGGCGCAGCTGTTAGCCCTGCTGCCGACAGAACATTTCGGATGTGGGTTTGGGACGGCGCAGGAGCGAGTGAATTCATACACATAATGATCAAATGACAACCTCAAATCCAGCAGCCCAATACTTTAGCCACAGTCATAATGTGCCGTTATTTACACGATACTGCTAATCATGTATTTTCCCATCGTTTGCATACATTTTCCATAACCCATAGTGTATAAACAGAACTCCATAGTCTCATCAGAAAAGCATTGTTGTCACTGTATCCATTTGACCACATTGTCTATCCCGAGGTGTCAGTCCAGCGCTGAGCAGTGTGACAGTTACTGAATTGCAAATCAGCCATTACTTTGGTTTGGGTAATAAATTAGAGACTGCTGGGTATGTCCTTGTGCATCTATGACACGTTCTGACCAATATTTAGGCAGCAGATCAGGCTCTGCCCCCACTAGCTCACCCTGTACAATTCACATGCTAATTGGCATTGACGATCAGACAAACTGCAAATGGAAAACAGACAATTGCTGGAACCCAGTCAGAGTCAATGCCGTTCCTGTTCTCTTATCCCTGAGATTCGTGGGTGGTGGTAAGGGGGGGGCGTACTTCCTGAATGTGGGCGGCCTGCCTCTGATCAACAGCCTTTCCATAGGAAGTGGCCACATTGTGTGCACCCCCCCCAAATCCCACTGAGCAAACACTGGTTTTGATAGACCCCCGGAATCCATGTGTTTCACTTCTTCCTGCAGGGGGCAGCGCTGGCACCTCCTAGAAGTATAATGCATCTTTGCTGCTCTTACGGTACGAGTGTTGGGCATTGGGGATAATGGGTAGTTATTTGGAAAACTATTCAGTGTTTTGCCATGTGGTGAACTATGGTTCACTCGACTTCATACCTAAAATCACCGTACTAAAGCCATTATTAAGTACAAGTCCTTCACCTGGTGCTCCGGGTACAAACCAGCTGCAAAGCAAACGCTAACCCAGAAACCCAAACACACCGATCCCGCTTATCTGATATAAGGCCTGCACTCTGCTGTTTGATTATACATTGCTCATGCAGACAAATTAATGTGATGGCTTTAAATAGATTCAATACATTTCAATTAAAAATCACCACACCAGCAAAAAGTAAACATCATTAACAAAAAGTTAAAGTGCTTCACCCCTCCGCTTCCCCATGTCTGTTTTCTATGGTTTGCTATCCCCGTGGATTAATTTTCCAAAAAAAAAAAAAAAATGCCCAGAAGTTTAAGAAAACCTACTCTTATTTTATTGGTTTGAGTTATCATTTGTACATTAAACAGGAAAAAGTTAAAGTCCAGACTAAATTATTAGTCAAACCAATGCCTGAATTAAAATTTTATACTCATATAAGAAGCCTCCATCTACAGGCAATTAGACTTTTGATTTTTGAGGAAAAAGGTCAGGTTCCAGCATGGAACTTTAATGCCCAGTTTGAACACCAAAGGCTTACAAAGCAAAGACAGAATATAGTCCCCGAAATTCGCAGATTATGTCAGGGTACACAATACACACAATCTCACCAATGGATATAAATAGTTTTGCATTAAATATGCAAACTTATATTTGTTTGGATGATGATACAAGAACCATTCTGGAAGTCAAAAACCACTGATTAAAATATCTTATCTATAAAATAGATATAAAATATCTAACAGCATCACTAAAAAGTATGTGACATCATAGGGCAACCCCCCTCCTCCGTGTTTTTGGCAAGATTACCATGCTTTCTTTTTCAAGAGACATTCATACTATAATTATATATATCATCATTGAAATTGCAGCTTAGCCTGCGGTCCTTTTAAACTATTCTGGTAATGCATAAAGAATTAATACATATAACCGTTTTGTTTCCAGCTTAATATAGAGCAGATATCAGAATTCTCTCCACTGTTTCAGATATCAGCTTTTCGTTTCAGGATGTTTGAAGCGACTGATTTTGACATTTGCAGAGGGCAACAGGTGCAGATCTCTGCATGCAAAAATGAATGATCCTGTTATCCAGAGGAGAGCACATGTCCCTTCTAAAGAGAACCAGCCCAGAGCGTGATGCTGCCACTGTGGTGCTTGACATTAGATATAGGCCTGGCTTCAGAGAACCCACTACTTAGAAATGAGCTTGTCCCCCAACATGACATCTTTACAGCTTTAGGAAGGCTGAGATTCTTCTTAAATTTCATGTTTCTCATCTGAGAATTGTGCAGCGCATGCATAATTGTTGCTATGTGAATGGAGTGCTGTGAGACCCTGCAGCACCTAAGGTAGCCATTGGCCTCTTAGTAGTCTCCTTAGGAAGCTTCCTCCCCGTACAGTCACACCTGGTACATCTTGGTGGTTTCAGATAACCTCCAACTATTTCTGTCAACTATTTTCTTCACAGCTTTCAGCGATATGTTTATGGCCGCTGAAATCTTTTTACGACCCCCTAGATTTGCAGGTTTCAACAAGAAGATCTCGTCACCTCATTGCTCATTGTTTTCTCTAAACAGATGTTCACTGTGCAACAAACAAACCTTCTGGGACTTCCCTCAGTAACCAAGTACAATCCCCACTAAAACGATGCCAACAAAAGTGTTTTGGTTCATCCACTTTCAGGCCCTTTTCAGGAATGTACCCCCCATAACTTTAAAGGTTACCATGGATTAATGAAAGTCAAATTATTTAAATTGGTTTTCATTTCATATTAAGATGACAAAAATTAGACATTTTGAATGGGATTTTGATATACTCCGAGTTAGCATTGCTAAGCCCCATTTTGCTCTTCGTCCTTTTTGATCATATTGTTAATTTTGATCCAGCATTTCTTTCTGTATTTCCGGGACAGCAGAATCAGGAATTATTTACATGCTTCTAAAGCACTTAGTGGGATTTTTCTGATTCCATTAGGCCAGATTCGTTCAGTCTTATATTCAGAAAGACTTTTCCAGCCTCTGACCGAAAAAAAATCCATTTCCTGTTGACTGTGGCTCAAAGAAGAAAGTTCTCAGACAGATATTCTGAGGCAGTGGCCTGTGCTGACCCTTCCCCATTCACGATTTCCCAAGGAGCTGATAAGATCCGGCTCAGCTTAGGCACGATTTTGCAATGTGGATGGCAGGCCAACAACCTCCCTTTTTATCCTCACCAAGAACAGACTACTCTTCCACATGAGAGTTACCGTACTAGGAATAAGCAACTGAAGGAAACAGAAATACTGCCCAACCCAGTGAAACAACAGCATTCCCCCCTTAGCAATCATTAAAGATGTGAGCAACAACTCTCTTCAACATCTGAGTCAGTGCCAAAAATAAGCGCTCTTCGAACTCTGTTTGCAAAATGAGCTCTGTTCACATGATCTTTTATTGAGAGTGAGGGAGAATTGCATAACCTGAAACCAGCCAAACAGTTACTACGGTCTCATTGAGGAGACTGCAGATGCTTGGGATTTTTGGTAACCGCGTAATACAGATCACTTCATGCTCATGAGTGGATTTTTCCCCCAAAGCCAAGATTACTGTGCTGTTGGAATTTTTGAACCAGCTAATTTTTGTCTGTAAGTAACAATCTTAGTCACTAAAACGAGTTTAACAGGAAACACAGATTTGGGATTAGGAGAGGACATCTGAGAAAGTTTACTAATTTGTTTGAAGCATGATATAGCAATAGTAAGTAAATGCATCTTTTCTCGTAAAACTGACACACACATTATAAATATATATATATAAAACATTCCGAGACTAGTGGTTTAATTCCCTGTTGCTGCTACCATCAACCACACCCTACACTAACCTCAGTACCTACCAACTACCTCAATAACCAACAAGTAACAGCTACACTCACCTAAAGAATTATTAGGAACACCATACTAATACGGTGTTTGACCCCCTTTCGCCTTCAGAACTGCCTTAATTCTACGTGGCATTGATTCAAC